CCGCAGCCCAGGTCCCAGCCATGCTGTACACAACGGCTCCTGCCTGCGCGGGCAGGGGGGTGACAAAGGTGGCGGTGCCAAGCTCCTCGGCAGCTGTTCCGGGAGAAATAAGCAAAAGTGTGGAGATTGTCCTGTTCGCACATGAGGGAGAACTCCTTCCCTGGGAGGGTGGGGGTTTGCAGGACTCAGAGGGACAGAGCCAGCGGCTGTCCTGACCCAGTGCTCAGCAGAGCCCTGCTGCAAGCGGGAGGGTGGGCTGGAGACCCCCAGGGACATCCCCCCCCCAACCACCACCACCACTAGCACTGCTGGGTTCTGTCAGGCACAGCTAGAAAGCCAGGGGTAACAGGCAAGGTCTGAGAAAAGACCCAGTGTCTAAATGCCAGCCATGAAGAAATGGTGGAAAACTGGAACCAGGTAATTTAATCTGCATATGGTTCGCTACAGACAGGGTCTTGTGTCCCTTCATGAATCAACTTCAGGTTTAAACGGCACAGAAAAACAGCTTTAAGGGGCTGCCGTATTTAGACATTGAGACAGGTAAATATGTTGTGTTTTAAAAATTAAAAAATAATATCAAAAAAATCAGTCTTGCTTCAGCCAGTAAGTACCATGCTCCTAGGAAGCAGGGCCAAACATAGAGCTACATGCCAGTTCTTCAGTGACCACACAGAATATTCAGTACTACAGGTCACTGCGAATTCTGCCTGCCGCTGCATTTCTGGTCACTAGGGAGCTGCACCAGGAGAGGCTTGCTATTGTCTGTCCTTTGGAACAGAGCAGGGTTTTTAATGACCCTGCAGCACCTGGCATTCAAAGTAGTGAAGCAGCTGGAAGATTGGATCTAATGTTTTAATTGTTCCTGCTGTAAGGGGAGGAATTCACAACTTTGCCTTTCATGTAACAATAGTGCATTTTGCCTTTTTTGGTCATTAAGATCTGCATTTTTACCTGATTTGGTTCTTGTTTGCAGCTTGTAGTCATCAGTGTGATGGTCTCTGGCAGTAGCATCTCAGCTCTACACCTGGACAATATCTAAGTATAAAAAACTTTATTTTCCTCCCTGTCACCAATAGCTCTCTGCTTGTGCTCCACTCCAGTGCTCTGCCCTGCCATTACCTGGTGCTACCAGAACTTGGTTTTGGTCCTGTAGCTTCTGTTCTCTAAGATGTTCTGTATGAACCTGCTACAAAGGCTTTTTCATTAATTCTTGTGAGCTAAATTCTGCATCCTCTTTATACCTTTTTTTTTCCTTTTTTCCCTCACACACATTTCTTGAAAAGGGATCAGTGTAGCTGTCAAAGCTGCAAATCAACTTTTAAGATATGAGACTGCTTTGACCATGTTAACTATGATCACAGTGCTGGAGGCTTAAGATTAAGAAATGAAACTTTTTTTTTTTTTTCTTAATTGGAAATGGCCATTTATAAAAACTGGCACAGGGAAAAACATGGCATCCATCTCCTGCTGTCTCTACATCAGTTGGCATCAGGTGATGCTTTGGCCAAAGTCAGATTACACAGACAAACCATGTGAAATAGAATTGACTGTAGAATAAGGCAGGTATGGCTGAAAGTAGCTTCTGGCCTTAAAAATTCATAGGGACAGAAACCTCATCTGAGCTTCCTTGATTTTTACACTGTGCAAGGCTGTGCCTGCTGCTTAAAGCAGGAATTCAGAAGCTGATGCTGTGCTGTTTCTTTCCTGCAGAAAGTACATCTCTCCACAGCAAGGAGATGGTAAGCCAGGCTTGCCATCCACATCTTCCCTTTGCCCTTGCTGACTCCTCTTTCTCTTCTTTTTTAGTGAGGAAGAGAAGACTCGCAGAGTTGAATGGGCCTATTTTTCCCAAGTGCAGAACTGGAGTGTAGTTCCTGGCTACAGAGACTGCTCCCCGTGATCTGTCATACACTGTGGAAATCTAAAGGCAATAAGTGCCTTGACAGAGTATTTGTGGTGCCTCAGTTCTGTTTTATGCACTAACAGTTTAAGTTAAGTAGTGGACATAGTTGAAGAGTTTATCCGGTAGGAGTGTTGATGTTTTCTGTAGAGCTGGAAACTATTCAAGCCAGTAACAACCTGCCAGTTTTATGCAATCTCAGTTTAGAGTACATCCCAGTGTAAAAGTGACTCTTAATTAACCTGAGGCCTAATTTTTCTATAAACTTCCTGCACGGTGTTTCATACAATTGGGACGTGGTATGCGTGAGTGAAAGATACAACTGTTCCACACAAATTATAGAAGTATTAAAAAAATATTTTATTGTTGGGTTTTTTTTCCAAATTGATCTCAAGTAACTACAGAGGAGCAACTAGTTTTAACAAGCACTTCTACTACCTGGAAACATGGCTAGCTTCAAGAATTGTGAATTACAATTTCTTACTGACATTTGCTGAGTCAGTTAAGTTGGCAATGCTGTTCCAAATGCATCCCTGTGTTTCTTAGAAAACATTGCTCTCCAGTCCCCTGATTAAATGGAACTTAAGGCCACCAGTTATAAAACAGACTCTCAAAAATTGAGTGGTTTAGGAGGGGTTAATACCCCTCTCCCTTATGCATGTATGAAGAAAACAGTCAGCTTCAGCGGTGTGATGCACATCCTAACCCCACAGAGACGGCCAAACTAATCAGCAAACCAGAGTCCTCTCTTCTAATGCCCAGTCCCTTCAGTTTCCTCACGTTGAAAGCGTGTGTCCAGATACTCACTGGAAACAAGACAGATTCTCTCTCTTCACTGTCTTGTCTAGATGATCACCTCCATCAATTAAATTTTTTTCTGCTAGGGATTGTTTCTTTTACTGCCATCCCTCATCTCTGCATAAATGCAACAATAAATCCTAGAAAAGCTTTTAAGTTAAATACCCCAACTCAGAAATTACACTGCATGTAGTCTGACAGTTTTTTTGTCACAGTCTCCCACCCATCATCAAGGCGGGAGGGAACTCCCCACAGGCTCATGTAGCTCCCAGATATGCAGTGGACTGTACCCAGTACTATCCCATCCAAAACTCACACTATGAATGTGGGTAAGGTCCTGCTCGGTAGGAAGAGTCTCCTGGTAGAAGTGTTGCCATACTGAAGCCTTATTCTTGATCTGATGACAAAGTATCCTAGAAAATGTTCTTACTTGCTAGAAATCTGTCTGTACACATCTGTTAAGAGCGAAGTTTTGCAGCCTGTTACACATATTCCAGGAAAAGTCCCACAGATTTCTTCAGAGTTTGTGCACAAATACCACACAGGATTTAGCTCTGACCAGTGAAGCAGAGAAAGACTGAATTTCCAGCAATATGGGAAACGTTTATTGCTTTTCAAATCGTAAAAAATGCACCACTGGTGTCAAATAAAATGCTTCACTATAGCTTTTTCCCTCCACCCTGCAAATTCTGTACCACAAAATTAAAAGAATAAAGAAGAAAAATACTTGAAAACATAATTTTAAAAAAGCAAAAAAACCACAAACAAACAAACAAAAACTTGCAGACAGCCTTCTTCTTCAATATGCACTGCAAAGACTTCAAAACAATCAACTAAACCATCAAACCAGAGCCACATAGTTTCAGCTGAGCCATCTACTCAGATATGCATCTTATGGGCTCTTCCACTGGCTTCAGAAGAACATAAATGCATCTTATCCTGGGAAATCCTGATCATGCTAAGAAACCCAGACATGCAAGGAGATGCATCTGCAGAGCAGGGAGCACTGCCATGGATACTACAACAGCATTTTTTCCTGAATGAAAGAAAAAATAGCCCTTAAAAAAAAAAAAAAGCAAGCAAGGACCTTGTTCTGTGTTTCACTATAGCAACATCCAAATTTACCATGCAGCCCAAATGTATATTAAGCTTGCAGGATCACTCCAGGTTCCTCATCTGATCCTTACAGAGACACTTAGATGCATGTGAGAGTGGAGAGGAACAGGGAGAGGCTGTGCTGAGAGGCATTAGGCTTTGTGGTGAAAGGCATCAAGCTGTGCAGTGATGGAGCTACAAAATGGTGATATTTAGGAGCAAATGGATTACTGTTTGTCCCAGGAGCTTTCCAGGAAGAGGGGAAAAAGCAATCTGCTGAATGCAGCATCTGTCAGTCACAGCCAATCCTGCTTAACTCTCACTTTGCCTGGAGCTAATGTGCCTTCTCGGGCATTAGCACTGAGGTGCATGGATCCCACCACACTGCATTTCACATGGCAAGTCCTTATTTGTATTAATCTGACAAAATTAATCCAGAAGTTGCACATGGGCTAACTTGCAAGAGGGAGGCTAAGGATGTCTCTTACCCCCCTCAATCCTCTCTGCAGCAGAGGGAATCTGGCTTTATGGGCCTACAGTTGTACATCTCAAACCCTTCTCCTCCCTTACCTTACTGCAGCAAGGACCAGAAGAGGCCCCACGGCTCCCCTCTGCCTTTGAGGTAGAATCTCCAGCTGCCAGGAGCTCTCAGAATTGTACCTTGTAGCCATGTCTACCACATGGCAGACAGCTAGCTAGGTTTCAGCATTTACCTCTGCAGAATTAAGCACCTCCAGCATAACAGGTGAAGTGTACGTGTGCAGTACTTGAAAAATTATGATGGAAGCACTAAAGGTTATTTATCGTCATAGGAGTTACAGAAGTTTACATATAAAATATAGTTGCTGCCATTCTGTACTGATAAATTATATAGAAACAGCCTTCCAAACAGGGTACACTGTTCCAGACTTGGTGATAGACTGAGTTATAAAACTGTGTTCTTTTTAGCCTAATACAGGAAGAAAAGAGAGAGTATGATATGCAAGTTAGGACACTCCCATCAAGTGTTCTAGACCAGGCCTGCAAGTAGAGCTTGCATGTTTTTCCACAAGTATTCCAGTCCTCAAAAGCACAGAGGTTAACTGGCCAGCAAAGCTTGAAGGCAAGATGCCAGGGGACCAGGGGTACTGCTGAGACCTCTGCTGAAGATGTCTACTGATGGGAATTTTCCAGTTCCTTCTCCTGTATGGATCACGCACAGATTTACTATTAAATACCATCCTAGAAATATTTTCAAAGGAGACATTCCTAAGTTCCAAAGTTTTCAAAGTATTCAGAGGAAGAGTCATAAAGACAGTTGCTCAACCATTGATTTCACGGTAGCAATACTGGAAGTAAGAAGCTGTGCTTGCCATGGCTTTAATGGAACCAATGCCCATGTCTTTAAGTTGCTAGTCAAGCCAACAATGAGGCCCTGCTGAATTCATAGCACTGTGGGAGAAAGTTAAAATCTATATGAAAATAACATTGCCCTAACTGTCACTAAGCAACTGCAGAAACCTGAGTAAACCATTTTCTTGCTTTTAAAAGCAGTTGCCAGCAAAAAACCCCAACAAACCAGTAAGTGATTTTGATTTCCTAATGACTAACTACTACTTAGTACCAAGAATGACAGTAAGTTTCAAAGACATTTTTTAGTCAAGACACATCTTCTGCACCATTAATAAAACCTTTCTGTACATTCTACAGCACCAGGCACACAAAATAGCAGGCAAAAAAGTATTTTGAGTTAATATGTTGTGGATCCCTTCAAATTCAAAGGCAATTTCTCCACTAATAGGAGCTGCAAATCACAAACATCTCACAGCTTCTTGAAAAACCTAACCCATGTTTACAAAGCACAAATGATCCCCAAATCTTGAATTATTTAACTTGGATGAAGGACCCTGCAATCCCCTTACAGCTGCTGCTGACATTTATGCACCTGTGTCAGCATCACTTCCAGTGCCATAATGCTGGTACTTTGATGGTCTCTGTGTGTCTGAGTTTCAACATGCTTTGAGCTGTTGTTTTTCTTTCTAGTGCAAGCAGAGCTGAGCCCTGGGTACTTCGTGTACTGACAAGCTGATGGAAGCAACAGTTCCCAGGGAGATGGAGCACTGGAATAAGGATTACTTTTGCTCTTCATCCTACAGGTCACATATAAGAAGTATGGCTGGGCAGACAATATCTGTGGACCTTTGCTGCAGTGACAAGCGGGGTCCTTACGCTGCCTTCAGCCAGTTTTACACAGGAGTCAAGTCAGTGACTTTCAGGTAACCAGCCCTTGCTTCTCACTGGGATGAAGCAAGAGATGCAGGCAATACGGCAGCGTGTACGTGGAAAAGATCTTCAGCTATAATCCTGTCACATACCAACACCCAACTGACACATCTGCTGTTTTCACACCCTAGCACGAGCTTTTGAAGCAAATGCGTGATCAGTGGAAAGGTCGGACAGATCCACCTCCATGCAGGAGGAAAAGAATGGAATTGTTCTTACATCCCTTCAGTTTCTTTTGAATTGTGAGCAGCTGCGTCCCATTGCACATACACTGCTCCAAAATCCCCATGGTAGAGGCCACACTACAAGACTGTGCTCAGGGAGAGGAATCCTGTAGTGCTGGTGATGGGTTGGGCACTCTGGTCATTTACAGTCAAGTAATGGATGTTTTTCAAGGGCATACTCTAGGCTTAAAGGCAGCATATGAACAAGACTTTGCAAGCCAACGTATTTTCATTCTTTCCAAACCTAACTGGATAACAGACAGGGATCTGGTTACAAAGCCCTTCGCATTAGCACGTGTCAGATAAGCTAATGAAACAACTTAATCTTCTCCTGCATCCAGCGTCCTTTGCAAGACATGTTCAATAGGTACCCTTGGCCGTCTCCTTGTACATTCACATTCCTCCTTAAGTGTCTGTCCTGAAGCCGGTGAAGTCACCTTGAGCTCCTTCTCTTGACAAACAGGACAGCAAGCTGTAAGACCTTTGTTGCAACAACTTGGACATGTCAGGACAAGCTGCCGGCAGTGCTGGCTGGAACAAAGTTTATACTGGTCCCACAGTGTCCCACAGTATCTGCATGCTGGAGGGAGGAGGAAAATAAAAAGTTAACACCCATGTTGCCCCATCTGTCCCCCCTGCAGAGGGTTCTCTGTGGCACCAGGGGGCTGCAGTCTCTCATTTAAGTCACTATTGTCTTCTGGGTTTTTAATTCTTGCTTTAGCTTGATCTTCGAGAAACTAGTTAATTTTTGAACTTCTTATTTTGATGTTAAAACTTAGGAGAGCTATTGTCTCTCAGGAAAAAGTGCTCACTAGTGCTTCCTCTCATTCTGATTAGACAGATTTAAGGATTCTTGCTGCCAAGAGAAGAAAGATATGCTGGTAGTAATTAAGCCAGCACACAGGAACACTGCCTGCTGGGGAAGGGGGTGCCATGGGACTTCCTTTCACCCAACAGCAATGGCTTGTGCAGATAGGGTGTTATTTGCAGTCCTGGTAGAGTCCTTCCATAACATCAGACAGGTTTTAACCCTTTAACTGAAAGCTACAGCACAGTTTAGCTGTACAATAAAGAAAGCGCCTACCCCAACACTTCCCCTTGAAACTTCTGTAGGGATGGCTGTGATGTATCCAGAATGTATTCTGTTTCTACATCAAGCCAGGCACTCTCAAGATGTACACAGTGACTGCAGAGGAGGAATGGGAGGTTACGCTCAAAAAGTTACCCAGACAAAAAAACCCAGCACTGTTTCCTAAAAAGCACTAGAGACAAGAAGAAAACAGGTATTTCATTTGCAATACCTGAAGAGCTACTTCAGCCAGTAGGCAACGTTTTTAACACCTTCAACTAGAGGTCACTGAAATTCTACAGGCTACAGAAACTTTTAAGGCATGAAAATAACCATGTGCTGTAAAGCTTAGTGCCACCACTCTCCCAGTGCCTGGCAGTCTGTGCTGATGTTCTCTGAGATGACTGGAGCAGAGAACAGCTAACAGCAGCAGAACTGTTTAATGCTTGGGTGACTTGGCCAACCAGATCAGCACTGCGGGCAACAAGTGGGTAATGACACCAGCAGTGCTTGACACACGTCTCCATAGCTGCAGACAGCTCATATAACAGCAGCTGCAGGGGAGCTTCCTTTTACTGCTTCAGTTTCAGGGAACTCTGCTTATTGACCCCCTTTTCTTTCATTTATGGTTAAAGCCGTAGAGCTGATTATCATGAAAAGTGACAGCACTAAAAGATCAAAGCAAGCATGAGGAAGAACTACACAGACCAGTTTGGCTGCCCTTACCCTGCACATGATTACAATAGCTTGCCAGCCTTCTGCACTTAAATTATCTAGTCCTACCTGAGACGATATCTTCATTGGAACAAATGGCATAACGATCATCAAATACAAACAGCTTCCCCCTGTAGAATCCATCTGGAAACTCTTCCAGGTACTTGTGAATTCCACCTTTTAGCTGGTAGACCTCTCTGCACACTGCCTGTTTAAAGCATATTAGCAGAAAAGCTGAAGGAGACAGCAGCAGTGGTGGGATGCCAGAGTTCCCAAAGCAAATGTAAAATGCCAGGGGTCACTGAAAAGCAGCAGCTTCTCAGTGACCATCAGATGGCACCACGTGCACCCACAACTCTAGGCAGCGCCACCAGGGATTAAGGGGCAGCTCCACAATGCTGGCTTGTTGACATGAACCCAAATGTGCATTTAATGTTACAGTCAAAAAAAGGCTGGTAACCTCCTCAGCTGAGGGAGGTTTGCTGCATCACAGATCAAATGCTTTTGAACCTCTGTGAGCTGCTGCTTATTCTATGTAGCGAGCTGTTAGCAGGAGCAGAATTTCTCAGGGTTCACACTAGTGCAGCAGAGAAAAAAAATAAAGGTTTAAATATCTGGAGCACACGTATTTATGCTGTTCCCTTGCTCCTTGAGGGAAGGATCCAGAAGAGTGGGATGGAAAGCACAATTAGAATAATGCCGTGTGCCAGATTTAATCCCACAACACTGGAAACGCACTGACTGCCTGGTTTTCACCGCTGTGAGATGCTCAAGCTGTGCACTTATGATCACAGAGCGAGCATAACACAGACAGAGCTTGAGGAAACACTGCAGAATGCTCTCAAGCCCTCCTAAAACACTGCTACAATCGGCAGGGCAGACTTACAAATATCTCTTCTCAGCAAATGGGTTCTATAATTATTTTCACAGATTAATCACTGCTGTGACTAGTCCATGCAGATCATCCTGAGCTGCATTAAACTACCCACGTCCTTAACAGACAGCATGAGGCAAGCGTGCGTCAGAGACATTTATCTCCCCAGCTGTTCACTGAGCAGTCTGTGCTCAGTAGGAATTTACCAGCAAAAGACAAGACAGCTGCCTTTAAAGCAGTCTCCAGTCCCCGACACTTGTGCCCCCAGAAAGACATCTCACCTTGCTCCGTAGGTAAGCAGAGCCTCTTTCACAACGAATCCCTCCTGTGCAGTACATCAGGACACGTTTGTCTTTAAAAAGCTCCAGGTTTTCATCTACGTAGCTGGGAAAATAGCTGAACTTCCTGATATCTGGAGCCAGACAGCCCTGGAAATGTCCCTGCAGTAACAACAGATGGCCATGTGACTGGTTACAAGCAGCCTTACACAGCAAGGCCCGTGACTCAAACTAGAGGAAGTAACAAACCTTTGGGCCAGAAGACAGCTCACTGCAGCTGCTTTAGGCAGTTCCTCAGCTGCAATTATGCATCAAAATACTTATTAAAATCTGTAAGAGAATTCTGGACACAGCATGTCTTGTCATCCCAGCAGAGGGAGCTAAGCAGAACAGAACTGTCGGAGAGAAGACAAGCCGCAACAGTGTAGAAGGGTTGCTGGGTGTGACAGCAGGATGCCCCTATTCTGTTTGACATAATAGAACAAGGCAAAAATGCTGGAAAACACTCTTACAATTTATCCTACTTTTACTTTAAACTATTTTTACTTCAAACTACGTGGTATTCACCGCTAATGTTGTAGGGACCACTTTGTCTTCTTCCTGCCCAACCTGTGTAAGTATACTGAGCCAGGCAGGTCCATGCTGAGTTGCTAAGCAGGTCCTCTGCTGCTTATGTCTAATATTCATTACTAAACTGAAGTTTGTATGCATTAAGGTCAATATGGAATATAGAATCTCTTGTTCCAATAAGGTTACACGCTCACAATGTGAAACACTTCCCCCCAGCACCTGTAACACACTGCAAGAAGCAGGCAAATGACACTTACTATTTTACTTTCATAGAAGTTCCTACAGTCCAGCAAGATGGTATCACTTTGTCCTTGACTGGCCTGAGATAAATACTGTTCTACTTCTCTGTGAAATTCCTGAGGGGATAAATGGATTCCTTTAACGAAAAAAGGAAAAAAAAAAGAAAAATAAGGGAAAAAAAAAAAAAAAAGAGAAAGACGTGAGAAGCGGAGCAACAAAACAACGTTACATATGATCTTGCTGATCCAGATTCTCCTTACGATTTCCAAACAAAAAATTTCTGTGATATTCACAGACTTTTCATCCAAACTCAACCAGCCAAGTTTATCCATGTTTGGATTCCTATTGTCAAATGAAAGAACACGCCACACTGTTCCACATGACAGAAGAAGCAGCAGATAGGTGCCTGTCTCTTTGTTACATACCCAGCAACTCTTACAGTTGTAAAAGAGAAAGATGTTTCCCTTCCCTTTGCTTATCGTTCATTACAACTGGGAGGTGCAGAAGCATACAGAAATGTGGCTCTTTCAGTGAAACTCTTCTCTGTTGATAAATATTGAAATTTTCCATAAGCATGTATTACTTTCAGTACAACATCAATTTACATAAAGTTTCTCAGCTTTCAAGTTGCTCAGAACTTGGGACTCCCCACCTACTGAAAAACAAAAAACTTCCCCCAACAAAATCCCTTACCTTACTAAAAAATAACCCTACGAGCAACTTGCCAGAGTAATGGGAACCATCTCCATAGAACACTGTAAAACAGGAGTAAAAAGGTAAAAAAAGGAAAGAAATCCCCAAACATGCATCCCACAAACTGCCAAAAACTTTGGGGGGTAGAAAAAAAAAATCTTCTGCCAAAACCACAAAAAGATGCTGTAGACATTTATCACCAACAAAAACCTTTTAGTGGAAGAAAAAGCCCAGAACTGCTTTTCTGTTAATTACTACTTGCTGTGCTCCTCTGCTTATTGCCTACGTACGTGTCCTCATAGCAGATGCAGAGCCAGTAACATCTCGTTGGGCATAATCCATATGAAGCAGGTACAGGCAGCAGGAAACAAATGCAGCCTGGGTTAGGGGGGTGGCATGAGCCTGATGCAGAACTTGACTCTGCTGTAGTGTAGAAGGCAGAAGCATGGCTGTTAACTTCAGCACAAGTAAAGCCAAGTCAGCAGGCCCAAACACTGGAACATGTATATACTCAACTGTAATATTCACCGGGATTCTAGAATTTTCTAAAAGAAGCCCTCAGCATCCACAGCACCAGAATCCACTGGATGCACAAGAAGACTCCATGGAAAGCTCTTCCTACACAGCCTGGTTCTTACTGCAAGCTAACCATGAGAGTGCACCGGAGCTCTTTATATGGTACAACGGGGGAAAAAGCCAGGCCGACCAGAGCAGCGCCGTAAGTTCCTTAGCTGCCTCCCATGACAGGAACCAGAAGGCCAACCATCTCCAGGGTATGTGTGGCTACGGTGGATCCTCTTGCACCCCTCCAGGTAAAGGTACATGCTTAAAGTTTGCTGATGACACTAAACTGGGAGGAGTGGCTGGCACACCAGAAGGCTGTGCTGCCATCCAGCGAGATCTGGACAGGCTGGAGAGTTGAGCCCAGAGGAAGCTGATGAAGTTCAATAAGGACAAGTGTAGGGTCCTGCACCTGGGGAGGAACAACCCCAGGCACCAGCACAGGTTGGGGGTTGATCTGCTGTAAAGCAGCCCTGCAGAGAAGGAGCTGGCAGTGCTGGTGGATGAGCAGTTGACCATGAGCCAGCAGTGTGCCCTCATGGCCAAGAAGGCCAATGGTCTCCTGGGGTGCATTAAAAAGACCATGGCCAGGAGGTCGAGAGAGGTTCTCCTCCCTCCCCCTCTACTCTGCCCTGGTGAGGCCACATCTGGAGTATTGTGTCCAGTTCTGGGCTCCCCAGTTCAAGAGAGACCAGGAACTAATGAAAAGTCCAGCGGAGGGCTACGAGGAAAGACAGAGAGCTGGGTCCATTTAGCCTAGAGGAGACTGAGAGGGGACCTTATCAACGTTTATA